GGACACTGAGACACTAAGGGACACATGGGGACACTGAGACACTAGGGGACACATGTGGACACAGACACTAGGGATACTGGGAGACATGGGACACTGGAAAACATGGGTACACTGAGACACTAGGGGACACTGGGAGAAATGGGGACACTGTGAGACATAGGGACATTGGGAGACACTGAGACGTCGGGACACAGAGACACTAGGGATACAGTGTCCCCATGTTTCCCAGTGTCCCCTAGTCTCCCGGTGTCTGTGTCCCCATGTCTCGGTGTCCCTAGTGTCTGTTTCCCCATGGCTCCTAGTTTCTCCTCGTCTCCCAGTGTCTGTGTCCCCATGTCTCAGTGTTCCTAGTGACTCAGTGTCTCCATGTCTCCCAGTGACCCCAAGTGTCTCAGTGTCCCCGGGTCTCTCAGTTTCCCCTAGTACCCTAGTGACATGAGGACACACTGAGACATGGGGACACTTGGAGAAATGGTAACACTGAGACACTGGGAGACCAGGGGACTGGGCGACATGGTGACACTGACACTGTGATACATAGGGACAGTGAGAGACTGGGTGACTTGCGAGACTGAGACACTGGGAGACCCTGGGAGCAATCCATCTATACAGCAGAATAAAACTGTGAGTAGTTTGTTGGTGATATTACAGAATTTTCTCTTATGTCACTCCTTGTGATTTACATCATGTGATGTCATGCATAACTAATTAATTATACAAATGAATAAGCCTGGTATTTTTTCCAAGAAAGGTGGCAACCCTAACTATTCTTCACATACTATTTCTTAAAGGAACACTATAGGGTCAGGAACACAATCATGTATTTCTGACCTTATTATGTTAAAACCACCATTTAGCCCCCTTGTCCCCTCTTGCCTCCCTAAATATAGTAAAAATCTTACTTGTATTCAAGTCTGCAGCTGCTGGCTCTGGGCCTGTCTGCCTCTGAACTGACTCTGTCTGCTGACATCATCAGAAGTGGAAGTCTGAGCAAATTACAATGCTTCCCCATAGGATTGGCTGAGATTGCCAATCTCCTCATGAAGATAAATTGATTCAATGCATCTCTATGAGGAAAGTTCAGTGTCTGCATGCAGAGGGTGGAGACAATGAATGGCTGTGCTGCACACTAGGCAGTACTGCCCCAGGAAGCACCTCTAGCTGCCATCTAAGGAGTGGCCATCAGAGTTATTTTCTTTGAAAAGACAGTGTTTACTGCAAAAAGCCTGACAGGAATGATTCTACTTACCAGAACAAATACAGTAAGCTGTAGTTGTACTGGTGACTATAGTGTCCCTTTAAGTTTGGAAGCTTAAGAGGAATGCATGGGAACAATACTTGTGTGGACTGGCTCACAATAAAATTAGTTTAGATAATGCAGACTTTGGTCTCTCTAACACTGTGGCATGTTACCTTTCGTCTACACTCACTACATATATCTTTTTCTCTGTCCCAGACTATATACCAGGAACTTCTGCCTGCTAGTAAGAAGATAAGGAGACAAGTGGACATGTGAGTGCTAGGGGACAGTCCTTAGAAAGCGTGGAGTAGGCACATCAGTTGATGCATTTATGTCAAGCTCAGGGTGCTGCCTGCATAGTATGCCCTTAGTTGGACAGCCTGCATGATTGGCAGGTAACCTGACATACATTCATGCCAGGCTGGCCTTCCAATTCTTTGGACAAACATGCCCCCTTTTTGGGCATGTTCACCCCTTTTGGCAGGTCTGGTCATGTGATTCGTGCCACACTCTTTTACCCTGCCCATTGACTTCCTGCTTCACTGGACACTGCTGTTAGGGGGTATGGATTTACTTGAAACATGAAAGCATAAATTAGAGAGAGATTAGCATAGAGTATGTGTTTTCGTATAGCTGCATCCTTTGAGTTTCCCTCCAACACCATCTCCATCAGATACATGATGCTTGGGAGGTATGATTGTTTTAGTGTTTTTGGTCGATAAGATTCTGTAAATAGGCCCATCATAATTGTCAGCACCAGGCCCACTGGGCTCTTAATCTGACCCTGATCAGCGACATAGGTCTATAGTGTTCAGGGCATGTGGCGTCCTTCCCAGGGTTTGGTAGCAGAACTATGTGGGCCATGGACATTTCGGGGTCGGGTGGCCTCCTCCCCCATTAGGTAGTTATACCATTTTAGCATGTGCGGTGTTAGTTCCTGTCTGTAGGTTTTGTAATAACTCCCTTCGAATCCATCTGGTCTAGGGGCTTTGTGTCCCTTAAGGCGTGTGATTGCCCGGTCTATCTCGTCTGCTGTAATCTCGTCGCCTAGGGTCGTTTTTGCAGTCGGGTGTAGTTCCACCAAGTTTAGTTTGTTCAGGTGTGTGTGTAAGGCCTCTGGTAGGTCTGGCTTGTTGTCGTTGTCCTGAGGAGAGTGGTTGTATAGTGTTTTGTAGAAGTCAGTGAAGACTTTTGTTATTTCTGCTGGTGTTGTTTTCGTGTGGCCTCTATCATCCTTAATCATTGTGATGTAGGCGTGTTTGGGTCGTGGGCGTAGTGTATGGGCCAGGAGTGTGTCCATCTTGTTTGCCTGTTCGTAGAATGTCCTCTTGGTATATGTCATGTCTCTGGCTACGTTGTCTAGGAGAGTTTCCCTTATCTGTCTTCGTGTGGTCTTTAGTTTTTGAAGGTGAGGGGTCTGTCTTATGTTGTTGCTCTAGTTTGCGTAGGTCGGTAAGTAGGGATTGTAGTTTTTGTGTCTTTGTTCTCTTTTTCCGGGTGGCCTCCCTGATTAGTACCCCTCTGATCACAGTCTAATGAGTGGTCCATTTGGTTGCTGGCATTATGTTTGGGGTGTCGTTGAGTTGGAAGTATTCTTCTATTTCTTTTTTAATGGTTTCTTTTATGATAGGGTCTTGTAACAGGGAGCTATTTAGTTTCCAGGACCAGGGTGTGGTAGTGTATAAGTCGTCTAGTTCTATGCTCACATCCTCGTGGTCTGACCACGTGATGGAGCCTACTGTGGATTTTTTGATTTTGTGTGTGGCTTGGTTGTTTACCAGGAAATAGTCGATTCGTGAGTATGAGTCGTGAGGTGCGGAGTAGAATGTGTAGTCTACGTCCTCTGGGTGTTGTGCCCTCCATATGTCTATCAGTCCTGTCGCCTGTATGAATGTAGTGTAACAGTTTGTCTTGTCTACCCCTGCCTTGTGAGCACGGTAAGCCCCTACCCCCTGTCTGCAGCTGGGCAAGGCACCGCATTGAAGTCGCCCCCTATTATGATCATTTGCTGCCGGCCAGGCCTGTGAGCTTTAAACATAGGGGTCCCCCCTGATACTTGGGGCAATAAGGATCTGGAAGCGTGGGTGAGGGTCACTATAATAGATGCTTGTGTTCCTGATCCTATAGTGTTCCTTTAAGTGTGAATTGTCAGGAATTCAACATCAAATAAATGTCATATTTAACCCTTTAAGGACCCCTTTATTTCTGAAGTTGTGTCCTTAAGGGGTTAAAAGAACACAAATATGTATCTCTGACACTATAGTTCTAAATAACTATTTAGTACCCCGGGCCTGACTAACCTTAATTTTACTCTCCTTTTTCCAGTGTTTCATAGTCTGTGCATGGCTGGCCCTGCCCTCGTGTTGCTGTTTGATTTCAGGGATACATTTGCATGTAACGTTGTTGTTTGAATGCAGGGGTATGTTTTTTGTGTGGTGTTGTCTTTTTATTGCAGTGGTGTATTTGTATTTAGTGTTGGTGTTTAGAATGCAGGGGCGAGTTTGTGTGTAGTGTTGATATTTGAATGCTCAGATGTTTGCATATATACACATTGCCACACACATACTGACACAGATACACAAATACACAAACATATATACAGAAACACACTGACACACAGATACACATACACACAAATATTTAACATATGTTTCCATACTTTTTGGGTGCAGAAGGGTGTTTTCCCTGGGTCCAGCGGATTGGCTGCTTGCTGAGACTGATGAGTCTTGGGCTAGTGCAGGCTGTCCTTTATTTCTTCCCCCTCCTCTGTTCATCCTTTCTGCCTCTTGTGTGGCTCTGGCTGTAAGCTAGAAGGAAGTGACTTGAACTCGCTGTCTTCCAGCACTGACAATTTGACAGTCTCCCAGTCCCACAGTTAAAAAGAGATGACCATCTGCTGACCCCAAGTGTGAGGACACCTGTTGGCCCCCTGCAGCTTTCTGACATGTACTTGTGGTAGTCTGCCTTTGAGGATAAACTTTGTAAAGCACTGTTTTTAGCTATTTTTAGCTATTTGAGGGAGTAGTGTTTAGTACTTACAAATATAAGCCCCTGCATAAAATCAAATACTGTTTTACCCTGTTTCCCCGAAAATACACCCTACCCCGAAAATAAGCCCTAGCTGGATTATCGGGGTGGGCTGCAATATAAGCCCTACCCCGAAAATAAGACCTAGGCATTGCACCTTGCGGCCCGGCGAGACTTCCTTCTTCTACCGTATGAGGAGGAGGGGGAGGAGCGTTGCGGGCCGCGGCATCGCGCAACGTGATGACGACCTTTCGCAGCGCCGTCAGTCTGCCTTCACGGATCTTCAGCGGAAGGATCCATTTCCGGGCGGTGAGGCACCCAGTGGTCGGACTCGGCAAGGAATCTTTGAAATGTGAGTATCGGTAGATATTTTATGTCTGGGACTGAATTAATTAAAGGGGGCGGGGGGTGAATTAATTAAAGGGTGGGCTGGATTAATTAGAGGGGGGTGAATTAATTAAAGGGGTGGTGAATTAATTAAAGGGTGGGCTGGATTAATTAGAGGGGGGTGAATTAATTAAAGGGGTGGTGAATTAATTAAAGGGTGGGCTGGATTAATTAAAGGGGGGTGGATTAATTAAAGGGGGGTGGATTAATTAAAGGGGGTGGATTAATTAAAGGGTGGGCTGGATTAATTAAAGGGGGTGGATTAATTAGAGGGTGGTGGATTAATTAAAGGGGTGGATTAATTAAAGGGGGTGGATTAATTAGAGGGGGTGGATTTATTAAAGGGGGGGGTGGATTAATTAGACAGTATGGTATTTTGATCCCCAGACAAGATGAGTGCAAAGAGAAAGAGCTGTACATACTGGTAACGTAAATAAATAAGCCCTACCCTGAAAATAAGCCCTAGTGTGTTTTTTGTGACTAAAATTAATATAAGACCCGGTCTTATTTTCGGAGAAACACGGTAGTAACTTTTTTTGTCAACTCAATACACTCAACATTTTTCCTTTACTTGTGTCACAACAAGAAAAAAAATCAATTCCCTTCTCAGTTGTACACAGTTATTAATTTAGTGAACTAACCGTTTTAAAAATAAAAACAAAACTACAATCATACATTTGACGGATTCTTAATACACCATCTGTAACTCAATCAGGGCTACTCACTAAAGTTAAAATTCAAAGTGAGTTTCAAATTTAAGGCTAACATAGCTGAACTTCGGCTCTACTTTGGTCTTAAACTTGAAATTTACTTTTTATTCACTATGAAATCCACTTTTGTGAATAGCCCTGAATCAAGAATTGTTTTGAAATATTGATTAACCTGTTCCTTAACAATAACACTTGCTCCCCACCTGTGCAACCACCATAGTCATGACTACTGCCTCCCGTAGCTGTAAATCCATGCAACTGAATATGACTATAACTACATACTATTCTCTTGTTGAATACAATGTTGTTCTTCATGAGCCTCAATCCACTATAATTGGTCTCTAATTTATAATCATGTAACCTCAATTTATAATCATGTAACCTAAATGTCCTATACAGTGGTTGTAGTTATTATTACTTAATTATTGATGAATGCTAGTCTATGTTAAGCGATGGATAAAGGTGCTATATAAGAATTGTTTAATAAATAATCTGACGAGAGAAATAAGCTCTACAGCAAAAAAAAAAAAAAAAGTTAATGTGACAAATGGCATACTCCTGCTTTCAGACCTATTTTTTTTTTTTTTACAGATAGCTGTGATTTCCTACATATTATCTGAAGAAATGCAGGAGCTCTCAGGCACAAGATCTCAGATCATAAATTATGTAAAATTGATTCTACAAAGATGAAGTTCATGCAGATTTCGCTATAGAAGCGTATTCATTGAGTTAATCTGCCACCTAGTGGTTGGCGTTAGTAATACTTTTCTGTTTGTAAAACCATTGGATTCTACAGGTTTATAGAAACATAGAATGTGATGAAAGATAAGAACCATTCGGCCCAACTAGTCTGCCCAATTTTCTAAATACTCTCATTAGTCACTGGCCTTATCTAATATCTAGGATAGCCTTATGCCTATCCTACGCATGCTTAAACTCCTTTACTGTGTTAACCACTACCACTTCAGCTGGAAGGCTATTCCATGCATCAACTACCCTCTCAGTAAAGTAATACTTCGGGATATTATTTTTAAACCTTTGCCCATCAAATTTAAGACTACATCCTCTTGTTTTGGTTGTTATTCTTCTTTTAAAAACAGGAAATATATATACTAGGTGGCATGCCATCTTATTCTCATAGGACCCCTAAAAGGGTTTTGCTATAACTATTTTTGCTGACTGAGGCCTTTCTTAAATTTATTTATAAAATATTTTACCAGGAAAGATACATTGAGATTTCTCTCGTTTTCAAGTATGTCAAGTATCAAACATAGCATGATGCTTGCCATGATCACTATCTCTATGAAAAGGGAACGGAAATAGAAATAAGCAGTTAGTTGTATAGTCTGTGTACAGTCACCATAGAGTGACTGTCAACATTCAGCACTCAGCACCTGTTCTGCCTAGATAAATCTCATCCTACATCTCCCAGCATACTCTGCCAGCTGCTGTTGCTAGAAATGCTTTAGACTTGATGAAGGGAGAAACACCAAAAAGCATGTCACTGTTAGTTCAATAAAAAAGGTACCATAGGAAACTGCAATACTTCATTATTTTGCTGCTATAGTTGCCACATATACAGTGTTTTTTTTTTTAATACAGATTACTGTCGCATGCTATGGACAATACATTAAAAGGGCTACCTTGTATTATGTAGATTCATATACCTCAGGCAGAGAATTAATTCAGGGGACCGTTTGAGTTTGCTGTAATTCTCAGGTTTTTCCATTAAAATGAGAATTCAAAGTGAATTTAAAATTTAAAGTGGCGTTGTCACCGTCTGAGTTACTTTGCATTACTTGCAAAGACCCCCGATGGTGACATTGCCATTTGTGGTCTGGTGGCTTGGTCGGGAGGGAAAAGTGACATTCACTTACCTGAATCTGTCCCTCGCGGGCACCGCCAACTTCTTCTGGCAAGTCCTCTTCTGATCCTCGTGTTTCAATACCAGGAGCTGATGTCACTGCTATAATCTCGGGGATGCGAGAAAGTACAGCATTGAGGTCTATGGAGGATCCCATAGATACAGCTAATATCTCTGCCGTCCATGATTCTAGATGGCGGTGGCTCCGCCCAGTGTCTACAAGTGACAGACGTAGGAAGTAGTCCCTACTTTGACTCAATATATCTTTTGACTCGTCTGGAATTTCAGTGAGATTCCAACATAGTCAGTATGAGTATTTCACGAAGATTTTATCTTTATGAAATACTAATTTTGCAGGGGTACTGACATGTTGCTTTAAAGTCAAAATAACGTCCTTCCAGCTCAGCTACTTATGCCTTAAATTATTTGAGATTCCCTTTGAATTCTCACTTTAGTGAATAATAATCCTGTCTATATATTAAGAAAAATATGGTGGATCTAGCAACTGTACTTGCAGACAATGCTGGAAATTATATAGTGTGCAACGTGTGGGGGACCAGTGACTGTTTGTATGTGATAGCAATGTGAATTCCGTCGTTTATTTGGAATTGAAAGGAGATTATCCTTGAAAGTGCTTTGGTGTATTTTATTGTACAATTATTCAGAAAGTTCACTTTTCTGTTAAAATTCTGATATCTGTAAAGACATGCAAATTCATCCATCCAGAGTTGTACGGAGAAAAATGTTTTCATCTGTAAAAAGATAAATTGAGCAATTAATTATACATGATTAGAAGCTAAAACAGGAGATTGTAATAGATGGACAGAGTTAGGACGATGTAATACAGAAGGTAAACTCATAGAGGAATGAGAGATTTGACCATTCATACACTATGTCATTGGCAGAAGGACCAGTGCTGGAGGGCTTCAACTCGGAGACCAATAGACAACTCTTTATTCATCTTTCACATTAATGATGACTGACTTGTATCTGTCCTGGACTTCGGATGACTGAACTTAACTTGTGGGCAGGACATATGGTGCCTCTAAACTGTTATATGGACTGCACTCTTGATCACCTGACAGTGCGCTTCACCTCTTAAAATGGCTTCAACTCTTATAATGCTGACCCAGTGAGCATTTGGCACCCTTCCACCTGACCTTGTCCCCCCCAGGGCTCGATTTAGATCATGAGTACACGTGGACACAGAATTCTTAAGTGTAGGCATTCAGCCACAAAAACCTGAAAAAAACAAAAACGCCTACATAAAAATGTCTAAGAAAAAATGCTGTATACACACATTACATTGTTACATAGCTGAAAAGAGACTTGCGTCCATCAAGTTCAGTCTTCCTCACATATGTTTTTGCTGTTGATCCAAAAGAAGGCAAAAAACCCAGTCAGTAGCGCTTCCAATTTTGCAACAAACTAGGAAATAATTCCTTCTTGACCCCAAAATAGCAGTCAGATATCTCCTTGGATCAAGCTGCTATTACCCCACTAATTAGAAATTATATCCCTGTATGTTAACTTTTTGCAAGTATTTATCCAATTTCAGTTTAAACATCTGTATGGACTCTGATAAAACCACCTCTTCAGGCAGAGAATTCTATATCCTTATTGCTCTTACTGTAAAAAAAAAAAACAACAACTTTTATTTGATTTACATGAAATGTCCTTTCTTCCAGCCTAAATGCATGAGCTCGTGTCCTATGTCTAGCCCCGTTTATGAATAGATTTACAGATAATGGTTTGTACGGGCCCCAAATATATTTGTATAATATTATCATATCCCCTCTGAGGCACCGTTTTTCCAAACTAATGATATTTAAATTTTTTAACCTTATGCACTTTTTCTAGTGCCATGATATCCTTCTTTAGAACAGGTGCCCAAAAATTGCACAGCATATTCACGGTGTGGTCTTACCAGCGATTTATAAAGAGGCAAAATTATAGTTTCATCTCGAGAATTTATGCCCCTGTTTATACATGACAACACCTTACTGGCCTTAGCAACTACAGATTGACATAGCATATTTCTGCCTAATTTGTTGTCTATAACAATTCCCAAATCCTTCTCGTGTGTGGTTATCTCTAATTCACTACAATTTAGGGTGTAAGTTGCTTGTGCATTCTTGACCCCGAAGTGCATAACTTTGTATTTCTCTACATTAAATTTCATCTGCCATTTTAGTGCCCAGTCCCCCAATCTATCTAAATCCCTCTGCAGCAAAGTAATATCCTGCTCACATTTTATTACTTTACAAAGTTTTGTGTCATCTGCAACATTGATACATGGCTTTCAATGCCTATTTCAAGATCATTTATAAATATGTTAAATAGAAGCGGTCCCAAAACAGAACCCTGAGGGACACTACTTACCACTCTTGTCCAGCCTGAAAATTTACCATTAAAGGACCACTCTAGGCACCCAGACCACTTAAGCTTAATGAAGTGGTCTGGGTGCCAGGTCACTCTAGGATTAACCTTTTTTTTATTTTTTATAAACATAGCAGTTTCAGAGAAACTGCTATGTTTATGTTAGGGTTAATCCAGCCTCTAAAGCCTCTAGTGGCTGTCTCATTGACAGCCGTTAGAGGCGTTTGCGTGCTTCTCACTGTGAAAATCACAGTGAGAAGACGCCAGCGTCCATTGGAAAGCATTGTAAATGCTTTCCTATGAGACTGGCTGAATGCGTGCACAGCTCCTGCCGCGCATGCGCATTCAGCCGAAGAGGAGGATCGGAGGCGGAAAGGAGGAGGAGAACTCCCGCCCGGCGCTGGAGAAAGGTAAGATTAACCCCTTTCCTCACCATCCAGCCCGGCGGGAGGGGGACCCTGAGGGTGGGGGCACCCTCAGGGCACTATAGTGCCAGGAAAACGAGTATGTTTTCCTGGCACTATAGTGGTCTTTTAATGACAACTCGTTGTACTCTATCCTTAAGCCAATGTTCTACCCAAGAACAAGAATATTAATCTAGACCAATTTCTTTTAGTTTGAACACTAACCTATTGTGAGAAACCGTATCAAATGCCTTGGCAAAATCCAAGTAGATCACATATACTGCAACACCATGATCTATATTTCTATTTACGTCTTTGTAGAATGCAATTAGGTTAGTTTGACATGTCCTATGTTTATAAAACCATGCTAATTATTGCTAATAACAAAGTTCTTTCCAATGAATTCCTGAATATTATCCTTAATAGTCCTTCAAATATTTTCCCAGTCACAGAAGTTAAGCTCACAGGTCTATAACTTCCAGGCAAGGATTCTGAACCATTTTTTAAAATAGGAATAACATCTGCCTTCCTCCAGTCCTCCGGTACAATACCTGAAACAAAAGAATCTTGAAAGATTAAATACAGAGGATCACTTATTTCCCCACTTAGCTCCTTACGTACTCGTGTGTGAGTGTATGCATATATCTGTATATATGTCTGTTTGTAGCAGTGTATATGTGTAGTATCTGTGTGTGTAGCATAGGCATTGCTGGGAGGGGCTAGAGGGGGGGGGGGCTAAAGCCACAGATGTGGGGCTCTCCCGGGACTACAGTTGGTAGAGGAGGCATAGTATATTAGGTTTGTTTTTTTAATTTAGAATTTTTTGTCAAAGCAGCATCCTGTTACAAAAAGGAAGACCAGTAGTGTAATGCTACATCAGGCTACATAAGGAGAGGAGACGATACCCCTCAGGTGTCAGTCAGCAGGGGGTGCTGAGGAAAGGACCTTTGCTACGCATTCCTCTGTCAGTTAAGTAGTATGGTGAGATGTTGGCTGGTCAAAAAGTACTTGTTTCAAGCTACACTTTCTTTAAGACACCCAGAGAGTATCAGGAGCACACTATTAATGGGCAGACAGGACAGGATGTTTGTGTGTGTACTGTGTCTGTAGCACTGAGTGTCACTGTGTGTATATTATATCTGATTCTCAGATTCTCTTCTGGGGAGGATGTGTGTATACCCGCAATGTTAAATAGCAAGTTGAAATTCTTGCTCCAGTCTGCCGGTGTTGCCGCTACACCAACACTGGCCAGAAAGTCTTATATGCCAGCTAGGTGGCAACCCTATCCAAAGAATTATTGAATTAGACATTTTTGGTTCTAAAAGAAGCTTGAGAAACTTAGTGGAGAAAGGCTCTTTTGTCACTGAGCTGGTATATGTTACTTCTCAGTAAATCTGCCTAATGCTAACATATGCACAAACACATGCATTCACACACTGTACATGTGGTTGCATGGCAACGTACACATAATATATGAAGTTAAATGAAAGAATTTCATGCATAGACATTTGACTTCAAAGCACCACACACATCATGTTTCATGTGAGTTCATGAGAAACGACTAACCAGTAAGAAACTATTTGAAAAAGGAAAGATAGTGAAATAATTTGAAATGAAATAACCATTAGATTTATTGCCAGCTCCGAGAATCCCAGTATTCCTCCTCCCATCGAGGGTTAGGCTTCTGATTCTTCCGTCCAAATGGATGCCATTGTGAGGGAAATCTTTCTAAAAAAAAAAAAAAAGTATTTTATAAGTCATGGCCTGATTGTAGTTAAGCAGTGGCAGGACTCTTTTCACACAAAATACTTAATAATTAAAAAATAATTATTAATTGCATTTAAAGTTTTACTGCTAGCACTAGTTGTCTAAGAGACCATGTAAGAGTTAACTTTTACAATAACCTTGCATGTTAAAGGGACACTATAGTCACCAAAACAACTTTAGCGTAACAACGCAGTTTTTGTGTATAGACCATGCCTCACTGCACAAATCTTCTCTCTATGGAATATTGGGTAGGAGTCTATCTTTCTTAGAGAACAGCCTAAATTAAGTGGGACATGTTAAAAAAAAAAAATACAATGGAATTCTTTTTTAGGGATTCTGATTTTAGTCCACATATGTTACTGTAACATTCTTAAAATCTGCTTGAAATTAATCTGATCTACTTTATAGTAAGATACTGTATCTCGCATGAAGCATCTGTTTGAAAATGAGAATATCTAAATATATTGGAAAAGAAGTGGTCTGCAGTAATTGTTGAGTAGTAGTGATGTCCCGAACGGTTCGCCACGGACGGCGAACATATGACCCTGTACCTCACAGTCAGCAGACACATTCCAGCCAATCAGCAGCAGACCCTCCCTCCCAGAACCTCCCACCTCCTGGACAGCTCACTAAGAATGCAGCTTCACAATGAATGTAAAATGGATGCTGTCCAGGAGGTGGGAGGGTCTGGGAGGGAGGGTCTGCTGCTGATTGGCTGGAATGTGTCTGCTGACTGTGAGGTACAGGGTCATATGTTCGCCATCCGCGGCGAACCGTTCGGCGAACTGTTCGGGACATCACTATTGTGTAGTAGTGTGTGTAGCTGATGTAGGTGTGTCTGTATGTGCACAGTGTGGTAAGCAGTATGTATGTGCATGTGTATAACTGTGGGTAGCAGTATGTGTAGAGGTGTGTGTAACAGTGTGGGTAGCAGTATGTGTAGAAGTGTGTGCATAACAGTGTGGGTAGAAGCATGTGTAATAGTATGTGTAGAAGTGTGTGTGTGTATAACAGTGTGGGTAGCACCATGTGTAGTAGTATTATAATCGCCATTATATAGCGCCAACAGATTCCGTAGCTCTTTACAATAATATGAGGGGGGGGGGGATTTAACTATAAATAGGACAATTACAAGAAAACTTACAGGAACAATAGGTTGAAGGGGACTCTGCTCAAACGAGCTTACAGTCTATAGAAGGTGGCGCATAAAACACATTAGGACAGGAAATAATCAAATAAGGTGGGAGTCAAGCAGAGCTGGAGGAGAGAATAAAGTGCTGCCCTTTAGGAGATAGCAAGAGACAGGTATGTAAGGTAGAGGTTACTCTGGGAGGCCATAAGCTTTCCTCAAGAGATGGGTTTTAAGGCACTTCTTAAACGATTAAAGACTATGGGAGAGTCTGATGGCGGTAGGCAGGCTATTCCATAGGAAGGAAGCCACCAACGAGAAGTCCTGCAAGACTACGGGTGCGAGCAGCGGACAGGAGAAGGTCACAGGCAGAGGGGAGAGACTGAGAAGGGGCATACCTATGGATCTGTGAAGAGATATAAGAGGGGCTAGAATTGTTCAGTGCTTTATAGGTATGGGTTATCACTTTGAATTCACTCCTATAGGATACAGGTAGCCAATGTAAGAACTGATAGAGGGGTGAGGTGTGAGAGGACCGACTAGAGAGGAAAATTAGTCTGGCGGCAGCATTCATTACAGACTGTAGAGGGGCAATACGGCTTTTGGGAAGACCAATCAGGAAAGGGTTACAATAATCCATGCGGGAAATTACTAGAGCATGGACAAGCTCCGTGGTAGCATCTTGCATAAGAAAGGGCTGGATGCGGGCTATGTTTTTAAGATGGAATCTACAGGATTTGGCAACATACTGGATGTGAGGCTCAAAGGTGAGGCCAGAGTCTAGTATGTCACCAAGACATCACTCTTGCAATGATGGACTTATGTGGATACCACTAACTTGAAGGGAGAGTGAAAGAGGAGGATCAGTATTAGGAGGAGGAAAGACAAGGAGCTCAGTTTTAGAGAGAATGTGTTTCAGAAAGTGGGAGGACATCCAGTCAGAGATGGAAGAAAGGCAAGCAGTGACACGTTGCAGGATGGCAGGGAAGAGGTCCGGCGAGGAGAGATATATCTGGGTGTCATCAGCGTACAGGTGGTAGTTGAATCTAAAAGAGGTAATGAGTTTGCCAAGAGAGGCAGTATAAAGAGAAAATAGAAGGGGACCAAGGACAGAACCTTGGGGGACTCCAACCGAGACAGGACGAGGGAAAGAGGTATCATTAGAAAAGGAGACACTAAATGAGCATTGGGAGAGATAAGAGGAAAACCACGAGAGGACATAGTCATAGGGACTGGGTGATTGAAGAGTTTGAAGAAGGAGTGCATGATCAACAGTGTCAAAGGCAGCATTGAGGTCAAGAAGAATTAGTATGGAGTAGTGGCCTTTGGATTTAGCTGCGATTAGGTCGTTTGTAACTTTGATAAGAGCAGTCTCAGTAGAGTGGAGAGGGCGGAAGCCAGTTTGAAGAGAATTAAGGGGAGAGTTGGAATTGAAGAAGTGAGACACACGGGCAAAGACAATTCTTTCCAGAAGCTTTGAGGAAAAAGGGAGCAGGGATATGGGATGATAAAGGGGGAGGATGGGTCAAGAGATGTTTTTTTCAGGATAGGTACTACAGTGACATGTTTAAGGTCAGCAGGGACAAAACCAGAAGAGAGCAGTTGAAGATGTGTGTTAAGGAAGGCACAAGACAAGGGGAGAGAGGTCTGATAAGGTGAGATGGGACAGGACCGAGCGGGCAAGTGGTGGGGCGAGAGGAAAGGAGAAGTGCAGCCACCTCTTGTCCAGTAGCCGGGGAGAAAGTCTGAAGGGTAGGAAAGGCATGATCTACGTGTGGTTGAGAAAGAGAATGGTAGGGTGGTGAGAATTCTTTCCTTAGCTGTTCAATCTTGTCGGTAAAGTAGCATGCAAAGCTATCGACTGTAAGGTTAGTTTGGGGGGTGGCCACAGCTGGGCGAAGAAGAGAGTTAAAGGTGTCAAAGAGAGGCCTGGGATTGCAGGAGCAATCTAATCTAATGAGTGAGGAAAAGTATGACGGTTTGGCGAGGACAAGGGCTGCGCTGTATGAACACAATATGAATCTTTAATAGAGAAAGTCTGCCTGGTGCGAGACTTGCTCCAGGAGTGTTCAGCACATCGGGAGCATCTTTGC